TCAGAAATGAAATATCTGAATTTCCAGATTAAAAACTGCTATCACAGTCAAAGAACAGGACCACCCAGATGGTTTTAAATGGAAGTCCCAGGACAACACTGTTATGGATTAAATGTTTTCATCCCCCAGTATTCACATGTTGAAGCCCTCCTCCCCAGAGTGAGGTATTAAGAGGTGGGACTTTTGGGAGATGATTAGAATTTGATGAGGTCACCAGGGTGGAGCCTTCATGAAGGGGATTACTGTTCTTCTAAACCTGTATAAAGTCAATGCCTTGAAAAATAGCACTATCTTTATATTATTTGGAAATTTAAATGCAAATACAAGAAAGTAAGTACAAAATATTTAAAGCAGTTACCTTGAAGTAGCAGAATGTGGGGAAAAGTTGGGAATGGTCAAGGGCATAAGGTGTGCTGATCATTTTGTAATAAATCCTTTTACCACTATTTGACTTTTTTGACTTTGATAAATATTGAGATTATTTTTTTAAATAAAATGAAAGAATGGAGAAAGGGGAACCCTCTTACACTGTTGGTGGGAATGCAAGGTGGTATAACCACTTTGGAAAATGGTGTGGCGGTTCCTCAAAAAAATTAAAAACAGAGCTACCCTATATGACCCAGCAATCGCACTACTGGGTATTTACCCCAAAGATACAGATGTAGTGAAAAGAAGAGCCATATGCACTCTAATGTTCAGAGCAGCAATGTCCACAATAGCCAAACTGTGGAAAGAGCAGAGATGCCCTTCAATAGACGAATGGATAAAGAAGATGTGGTCCATATATACAATGGAATATTACTCAGCCATCAGAAAGGATGAATACCCAACTTTTGCATCAACATGGATGGGACTGGAGGAGATTATGCTAAGTGAAATAAGTCAAGCAGAGAAAGTCAATTATCATATGGTTTCACTTATTTGTGGAACATAAGGAACAGCATGGAGGACATCAGGAGAAGGAAGGGAAAAATGAAGCGGGGGGAATCAGAGGGGGAGAAGAACCATGAGAGACTATGGACTCTGAAAAACAAACTGAGGGTTTTAGAGGGGAGGGGGGTAGGGGGATGTAAGGTTAGCCCAGTGATGGGTATTAAGGAGGGCATGTACTGCCTGGAGCACTGGGTGTTATATGCAAAAAATGAATCATGGAACACTACATCAAAAACTAATGATGTAATGTATGGTGACTAACATAACATAATTAAAAAAAAAAGAAGAAGTCTCAGAATACTAGAAGATCAATGTTTGGGGGGGTTGCTATTGATTTATTACCTATTATTCAATATTCAGATACTGCTTTTCTGATACGTGTGATTTCAACCCTCAACTTATAAATGAGTTGATATGTCATGTAACTAAGCAAAAACTGTACCCTTAAATTTTGGAAGGCATTGAGGTTTTTACCTAAAATGAAATGCAGCTTTTCAACTCTTGAAATTTTCATTAGGGGAGAAGTAATTATCAATCTGTACATCAAAACATAACACAATTAAAAAGTTTTAACAAGCAAGATTTCTGATTTTTAGTAGCAACTTTAAATAGCGGACTCAATTTTTCATTTGTAAATATTATGCATTTCATTTGTCACACAACATGAATTTTATCTTCCAATGAAAGGCACAAACAGATCTTACTATGACTTATATGAGACTAGTAGTTAAAGGTCTTGGGTGGTTATTTATATCTATTTTCTAAAGAGATAGAATGTTTTACAAATCATGAAATGTATAGTGAGTGTCAGAGGGGCTTCAGGCCTGTAATGAGGATTATGACCAAGAGTTTCCAGGAACTGATATTTCATTTAAACATGTCCTGCTACTTCTTTATGATGCCTAAATGTTTACATCAATAACATATTAAAAACCTAACACCAGGAGTAGAATACGTTATATTCCTTCTTTCCCTATTTATTATGTTCTCTTTTCAGCAAATCACTATTTCAGAACTTCCTATAGTTCTCAATCTTTTTCATCTTGCTTTTACCCCTAAGGTTTCTCTAAAATTTTCTATCCCTGCCTCAGACCTATTCTTTTTCTTGTCACTTGAGAAAGGGAGGACTTGAGACAAGAGGGTTTTCAACTATGCCTGAACTCAAGGCCTTCGGAAAGTAACTTAGCAAGCAATATGCCGTTGACTTCAAGGCAAGTTTGAATCTTTAATATTAGAAAGAATAATGTAAAACAAGACCACAATTGATTTTATAAAATAGCCTACATGTTATATTTAGAAGAAAAATGCCTACAACAATAATTTTTAAAATTGGACTTTCTGTGTTGGACACCTGTCCTCTATTTCTGGGGAATATTCTGCAGTCAGTACACATGCAAAGGAGTGCCATACAGCATCTGTCCTGAAATTGCTATAGAAAAAGAACTAATGTTTAAAATAATCCCTAAGAAATTAAAGATCCAAAATAACTTAAATCAAAATTCAATTTTAATACCATTAAAGAATGGGAATTAGACTAAAATATTTTGGAAAGGACTTTATTTCAACCAAAAACTTTCTTGGGACCTTGGTTAGCATGAAACCACATATAAGTCCATCTAAACAATTGTGTTAATATGTCCTGTTCATCTATCAATGTTTATATTTAGTAAACTGTATCATCATCCAACTAGTAGATCAAGCCAGAAGCCTGGGAATCAGGTTGACTTCTTTCCCCCTTCCATTAGACCTTCAAATCTTACTGATTGTATTTCTTAAATACCCATTAGGAGCAAGTGTCCTGTTGATACCACTATTGTACTAACCCCCCAATATCCTGCCATACACCCAATGGTCTCCTTATAGTCCTCTGACCCTGTTCCTTCCACTGAAACCCTTTATTAATTTGCCCTTTGGACAAAGGTTAACCCCTTAACATGTATTTCCAGACTCTCCATGACTGACTCCACTACCCCACTGCATGTTTTGGTATTTGTCTCAACCTGTCCTCCCTTTTCTCACACCAGCTACACTGAGCTCCAATATCTTGCTTACCTGCCTTCCTGGAAACTGCTATCACTTCCTCCAATGTTGTCCCCTCTTTCTTTGCCTGATTATCTCCTACTCACCCTCCAGGTCTTAGTTTAAATGCCATTTCCTCAGAGAAGCCTTTGTTGATCCCTAATCTAAATTCATTAAATGCAGTAACCACCTTGTTCCCGTGCTTAGGTTCTGGGTTGGCCTACATTTGCAGCTGTGTGATAGGAGACACCAATGGTTTTAAAAAATTAACAAATTTGAAAATGAGAAAATGCTTTATCTATTATTTATGAAAAGTGAGGAGAACTCAATTATCACTTTCAATTACACATTTTGGGATAGTTAACAAAACACTAATGTGAGGTCTAAAATTTGCGGTGACTTCCATATTTTGTCATATTAAAAAATGATCGTGCTGTGCCCTCAATTTTTCACAATATTAAAATATAATCGCTACTTGAGTGGAATTTGTACCTTACTTGTACCTTTAATTCAGATGAATTAATTAATTTCTGGTTAAATTACCTACATGTAACAAAATTTAACATGTAGTTCTAAAACCTACCCAAAGGTTCACATCAGTTTTTTCATATTTATATAAGTGACCAACAACCAACAATATTTATAGGAGCAGAGATAAAGAGAATTTGAGGTATCCCAGGGATAGCCTTTGACCAAACATTTTTACATACTGCCTTTTCCTCAAGTATATTATGTATAGTACCTTAATATACTCTTATTTGATTCTCAAAACAACTCTGAGAGGTAGGCAAAAGAGGTATCATCACCCCCTTTGCAAAGACACAGTTTAAATGGCTCAACCAAAGTCCCCACCTATTAAGTTACTGACCCAGAGTTAGAATCCAGGACTTTTGATTGCATACAGAACTCTTTGCTCCATGGTTGCCCACTTATGTGCCATAATCTTGAAAATTCGAAGTATTAATTCCTTTAGGGTAACAAAGCTCTCTCTAGCTATTTCTATTTTATTTTTAAGATTTTATTTATTTATTTGACAGGGAGAGCGAGAGAGCACAAGCAGGGGGAACAGTAGGGGGAGAGGGAGAAGCAGGCTCCCCGCCAAGCAGGGAGCCCGAGGTGGAGCTCGATCTCAGGACCCTGGGATCATGACCTGAGCTGAAAGCAGACGCTTAACCATCTGAGCCACCCAGGCGCCCCTAGCTATTTCTATTATTAAATGCAAATAATTCTATAAAGATCACATATTAAAACACACTTATGTGTGAATTAATTTGTCACATCATTTTCCCTTAAGTCAGAGATACTCCCAGCTAGTAAGATTTATGTCCAGTGATGGGTAGCTGGAAAAAAGGGGAAAAAAAAAAAAAAGCCTATCAAAAAAAATAGCAGTAAGGGATATATTAAGGAAACTTTGTATCTTTATCACTTTGTTGACCACCTTCATACAAGAAAGCCTCTTTCTAACTAAATATGCTCAATATTTAAAAGTAGTTCTTTTCTTTTGGGGCGCCTGGGTGGCTCAGTTGGTTAAGCGACTGCCTTCGGCTCAGGTCATGATCCTGGAGTCCCTGGATCGAGTCCCGCATC